GAATGCAACTATACATCCATCCCAACCACTCTGAATACACAGATACAAAATGGACATCCATTGGTATACCCCATTTTTCCTAAGTTCTGTGCAGTGGACTTTTTTTTTTTTTTTGGTTTTGTATTCCATATTTCTGTTAGGAAACACGAAGGAAGCCAGACTGGGATTATTAACATATCCTGGAAACTTGAGTTTTTTGAGATGTGTCCTATACTCATACTGGATTTCTGACGATACATGTGATCACAGTACCTATCAATCAAGGAAAACTACTAGTGTTTTAAAAAAAGATCATGTTATCTAAATATGGTTAGGAAACTGGAGGGGTGAAAAAATGTGCCTCATTGGAACATGAGTTTCAAGAACCCATCGTCGGGGAAGTTTGCTAGAGGCCAAAACCACTCATTTATTTTAAGCATTAAATACTTGAAAGAGCACCACTTCTCTGCATGAAGATTCATGTGACTTAACCACACGAAGAACAGAAGAGATAGTCAGAGTTTTGAAGGGGGCCTGTGCTTCCCTAATTAGTCCTTGAAGAACATGGGTTTAAGTGACCAAGAGGGGCAAACCAACATACACAGCAGTGGCTCAGCTCTGACTTGGAATTCCAGGGCTCTGGTCGCAAAGGCCGTGGCTGGGCTGTGCTTCCTAGGAGGCTGCTGTGCATGGGGAGTTTCTTGTTTTACTTTCTTCAATGTGTGCATATGCCCAGAGGCCCTTTGTAATGGGAGAATTTTAAGAAAGTCTTAAATTTAAAACATCCCACACTTAAAAAATTCTTTCTCAATGTGTCACCTTCAAATTCTGTTCCCCAAGTCACATAACATACAGCAGTGTGATAGCCATCTCTTTTTAATATTCCTTCTTACATACAATTGTATCCATCTTTACCTAATACTAGGTATCACCATAAATAGAGCAAACTAAGTTGGCCATCTGAGATTAAATAGCCAACAGTCACCTTTTGATGTTATTTCTTTGATATGAAATACACCTTACAGTTAATTTTGGAACAAACACACACAATTTAAAGAAATAATGCAAACTCATATGCCTTGGCAAAAAAGTTTTTCATGTATGTTTTAAAAGGTGTTTATACAATATGAATCAACTTGCTGTGTACATAAAAGAACTGGAACTCTTCAAAGAGCAAGCGTCTGATCTTTGAGAACTGAGTTCATTGAGGTTAAATTGTGCTTAGGGAGTTTAGGTAAAAAGGAAAGTAAAAGGAGATTATACCTCTTCTCACGGCAGGAAAAGGCTCATTTCCAGGGCAGAGACTCCTGAAACCCGTAAAATACATTCCAGACCCAAGGCCCAATGAGTTCATGCATCATAGTTGGACACTTCAGCCAGAGAGAGAGAGTCAGGATGAGTTTTCTTTCATATATGGAATAGGAATAAAAATGTACACAGGATATGTGAGAGAAAAATCTTAGAAATTAAATTAATTAAAACTTAATTCAAAGATGAATTCTGTTTTGCTGAACACTACTGACCTCCTTTTATGGAGCCGATCCTTTATACCTTGGAAATCCCAACCTCACATGAGGGACAACCCAAGACCCTCAGAGCTCTGAAGGGTTACTGCTAAGCCCAAGGCAAGATACCCACTGAACTCCAAAAGGCGAAGATACTGAGGAAGGGATTCCTTTTTTTTTATTTTAGGGAAGGGTCTAAAATAAAAGGTGTTTGGGGTCTCATTACTAGATCAGACTCATAGTGATCCACCTGTTTACAGCCTCCTAAGTGCTGGGATTACAGGCCTGTGTCACCATGCCCAGTCTCAATTGCCATCTCAGCATGCTCCCAAGGGTAGGGCCAGCATGACAGGCCTGGGGACCAAACCTGTGGCCCCTGCACCTGTTTGCAGGTGCTTTAATCTGCTGAGCTATTTAGCTAGCCCTGGGATTCTTAATCTTGGTTGTGCCATGGGCCCTCTGGAAGCCTGATAAATTGATCCCTTGGTAGTCTTGATAGCATTTGTAAATGTATAAAATAAAAAATGTAGGATAACAAAGTCAACTATATTGCAATACAGTCTTGATTAACATATAAAAATGCCAAATTTATTGTATAATAGTTGTTGTGATTTTTTTCATGCACTAAAAAACAAGAAGTATCAGGAGATTATCATTTTGAAACAGAATGGGCATCTATGACACACTGAAATATCCTCAAAGTTATAGTGAGATATGAAAGGATCAGTTATTTCTATTGGTGACAGTGTCATAGACACTCCTAATAATTTCGTGGTTTGTTGAAGAAAATACTTTGTTTCAGGTAAGATTAGAGAAAATAAAATACATGATTTTGTTTCTTCATAACCTCACACCCTTTCTTACCATTTGTTGAAGGCACTTCTTGGGATTTCTGGATCGCTGATTAGAAAACCTTGGTCTAAATAACATGTAAGGACCTTGTCACTTGTGTTTCACACCATCGTTTTACTTTGGGCGAGACTGTGCTTTATATTTTGGTCATCTTAACAAGTTGGCAGTATTTAACATGCAAATTTTGTTCCAAAGAGATTTCAACAAACAACAAAAGCAAAAGCAACAGCTACTAAAGTATTTGCTCATCTTGACAATATTTCTTAAAAAGTACAAGAAAAAGGACACATTCTCTTTTCAGAGACACAGACTTCCTGAAGTTTACTCTATTTTTGCCCATAATTTTATTCTATTAAGTAGCACCACTTGAGTTTTTGCATGTTTTGAGTAACATCTGACGTACAGCTGACAGAGGAAGTTGCTGTAAAATCTTCAAGAAAGTAGTATACTTTTTTCACTCATATTTAGAAAATGCTAGCAAAGTGGCGTGCATAAAGGAGAAACTTAGTGCTTACAGATTGAAAGAACCAAGAAACTATAAGATAGCAATATTCATAATATATCACTTGAAAATCTTTCTCTAGAGAAGTGGCAAGTTACTTGGGTTGCTTTATTTATCCTACAGATGGTAGAGCAAATATGTTATCCATAGATAATGTGAGAGTTCTATGAAATCTCACACATTAAGAAAGAATTACTTTGCCCAGGTACCCATAGGCCTATGACCCATCCACTCTATTGAAGCACCTGGCATCTACTTTAAGGTCCCTTTGTCAGAGATCTGGCCATTCTTACAGCTGTTCATCTGTATTTTTCTGCAGTCTTTTTATTATTAGGAAGTGCTTTCCCAGGGCGAAAACTACTTGTGGTCCCTTAGCTTTCAAGAAATCTTGATGACTGAATCAGGTGCTGAGTATCAGGAGATGGGAATTTTGCCCTGAAGGACTCTGTCTGAAGCCTGTAGAAAAGAGAAAAAGCCATTGATTTTCATAAGAGCCACAGCTAAAATGGTGACAAAGTAGCTTTAATGATCCCATGTGACTGAATCATCATCATATTTTGAAAAGGATTCTGTTGCAGAGTTGAGCATGTGACTTAACTTGAGTCATGGACTGGATTCATGAACTTATGGAAGCGATGGAACGGTTTTTCAGTCATTTTCTGAAAAAGTGGAAATAATATCTGTCTCATAGAACGTTTAATCAAAGTTGAAGTAGGTAAGACAAGGAAATCATTAGCTTAGCATGTTCCTGGATGCAGGTAACAGAAACAACCAGGTCAAAATTACTCGACCAATAAGAACTTATTATCCCACATAAGGAAAGGTGCAGAGATAGAGGCTATTTTAAGGTTTGGCTTTAGGGTTCAACAATATCATTCAGAAGTTGTGGTTTTTCTCTTTTTCATCTGTCTACTTTTCCTTCCTCATCACATTCCTTTTATTCTCAGGCT